TTGCCTAGAGAAATCTGGGTATGCAAGAACCGGTGCGTGTGTCAAAGCCTGCTTTAAGGTATCAAAGGCTGTCTGAGCATCAGCCGTCCAACAAAATGGCACATGTTCGGACTTTGCACTGCCCTTAGCCTGTGAGGGCAAAAGAGCATGCAAAGGTGCTGCAACTTTTGCAAATCCATGTCTAAAGCGCTGGTAGTAACTGGCCAGGCCAAGGAAAGAAAGGCAAATGTGCTCCTGTTGTAGGCAATGGCCAATCCCTAATTCTCTTAACCTTATCCTCATCAACTAACACACCTCCAGCCCCCACAACATGACCTAAATACGACACATGGCTACGGAACAGTTGGCACTTAGCACCCTTGATCTTAAGGCCAAACTCAGCTAATCTAGCAAAGACCTTGTCCAACCTATTTATGTGTTCCTGCACTGTAGGGGAACGGACTAGAATATCATCTAGGTAAATCAACAGCTCTGATAGATTCATGTCGCCGCGACACATCTCCATCACCCTCTGGAAAGTTCCAGGTGCATTTACAAGGGTCGAAGGGCATTCTAGTATACTCGAACAATCCAAAAGGAACCCTAAATGCCGCTTTACTGATTGAGTCTGGGTCCATCACGACTTGGTGGTACCCATGGGCCAAATCAAGGGAGGAGAAGTATCTTGCACCACGGAGGGCCTCCAGGGACTCCTCAATGCGAGGTAATGGAAATGCGTCTCGTACTGTCTTAGTGTTAAGCCTCCTGTAATCAATACAAATTCTCAACGACCCATCCTTTTTCTGAAAGACGATCGGCTCGCATAGGGACTGTTACTTTTCCGTATTATGCCCTGTTCCAGAAACTTTTCGATCGACTCCCTAACCTCTCCTAGATGCTGTGGAGGGATTCGTCTGTATGGCTGATTGATTGGTCAGTCGTCAATAGTGTCAATCCTGTGGGGAACCTTATCACATAGTCCCAGATCTAAAGAACTCTTTGAGAACACCTGGTCGTGCTTTTGAATCATTCGCACAATCCTATCTCGATCTTCCGCACACATCTGCGTACATAAACTAATATCTAGCCCTAGAGGAAGTTGGTATGTGGATCTGTCCTCAAATACATAAACTTCTCCTGTCACTGACTCTTTGTCATCACCACTCTTGACATCTGGCTCACTAGATTCTGCAAAGGTGGCAGCCTCAGACTGGTTAATGACCTGATTTTCCCTAGATTCCGTTAGGAGATGGTTTACCGAAACATTGATGCAATCTGCACCTGTTTCAACTGTAACATGGGACCTGGGTGAAACCTCAGTGACATAAGCAAGCTTTGTGTGTGGGGATAACTCAAGTGCTTGCATCCCCATGCTCACAACCAACACAGTTACAGTTTGGCCACTAACTACATGAATCATATACACGACAAATACCATCAATACTACCAGTAGATGCTTGCTCTGTTGATTTGCATTCACCAGCTCTATGGCTAGACAGACTTTCAACAAGAACAGTTTGTCCATCAAGGCTGTTCGAACAAGGTGAGACAAACAAGTTATACAACGCACTTCCCTAGGTAACAGATGCACTGGGTTTCTACCTGTGCGAACACCCTGGAGCTCACGACAATGCCTATCTACCCTAGGTGACCCCTCGGCTACTGGTTGTTTAGTAAGCCGATGCCAATTAATGGCTGTTGTCCATGCATCTATATCTGCTTGCTTTGAGTCAAGAACTACATCCTTCAGTTTGTGCAAAATATTACATCCTAACAACA